TTAGCAAAGAAAGGTAAAGATCTTTTTGCTTCATTCTGGTCAGGATTTTGTATTTTTTTTTTTTTATTGTGTTTACTCAATTCTTGTAGAGTTTGCGATTAAGGTTGTAAGAGGTAAAATAGAATAGGTTGGACTACAGTGCTGGCCTGTGTTCCTGGTTAAATTACAGCTGTACCTAATCCTGCTCATGACTTGGGGGTAAACTCCAGATCATTTGGATTTCACTCCCCTTAATGTATTTACAAGATGAAAGCATTTTTTTAAAATGTGTAAGAATCCAGTTTAATTTAAGATTCTCGGGATCCATCCTAATCATAGTCACATTTCCCCAAAGCCTGGCTTCCTTACTTTGCTTGGGAATCAGTGTTCCCAAGGTCAAGGGCAGTATGAAGTAACTCCAAGCCCATCTTGGCAGTACTTCAAATATAACAATAAAAATCCCTCTAAATCGAACTTGAGACTCATTTTAAGATCAGTTGTTTTTATTCTTTGTCTTGCCATTGTATGTTGAATTTGTTTCATCTTGTAAAGATTAAGATCATGCTATAGCTTTTAAATGTGAGAATTGAATTATTAATAGTTTTTAGGTTAAAAAATGAATTTGTTTCCTGTAAGAAAAGCATTTTGTTCCTCCAAACTTTAAATGTAATAGAAATGAAGTGTCTTTTAAAGTTTTTTTAAATCAATTCATAATTTAAACTTTTTAGTTTCCTGCTTAATATGACAGTTTCTTCAGCAGAGCAAATGCGAGGACTACATGCAGTCTGATCAAGTTATACTTGTGTGCCTCCTGCATTTGAGATTGTTACTATTTGAATCTTGGTATATTTCATCCAGTTTTCATCTTTAATTCAGCAAATCATGATGCAGTGATTAGCGTGTGCCATAATCACCACAATGCATTGTAATGGCTTTAGGTCATTTTCTGTTACACTATGCAATAAATTCATTCAGGGTAAGATTGTACAACCCTCTCAAACTATATATCTACAGAATCCTTCTGTTGTCTGTAGACACTTTAAACTGAAAACTTCACTGAAATAGTGAAGCTGCCTTCCCAAAAACTGTCATGATGCTAATTCACTCTGCTTTAGTCCTTATAATGTATCTTGATTTTGGGAGAAATTGATTCATATTCATTTTAAGCAACAAAGTATAGGTGACTGAAGCCAGTATAAAGGAATATAGCTTGTTGCTTAGTTGATATTCTTGAGGTTGCAGATGTCATGTGTACATTTTTAGAAATTTATAAATATTGACATACACTTTTTATTATCTGGCATTTCGAAATACTTTATGTGTTAGTTTTTTAAACAAAATCCCACACAAAGCAAATTAAAAAGCATCTCGACAAAAGACAATGTTGCAAAATTTCAGTAAAGTGAATTAGCATTATATTTGTAAGAGTATTGTCTTTGTGGGAAAACTTTAGTTTCTTTGAAGTAGGAATTATACTGATAGAAAAATTCTTAATTTCTAAGCATCAAATCATTTATGAACAGTTGTCAGTTTAGTTTTAGGATGGTAGAAAATCAGATAGAAAGGAAAATTGGCTAAGTGTGGAAATTAGGATAATAAGAAATATCTTTACACTTACAAAGATGTGTCATTGTTCCATTTTTGTCCTAACACCAGCATGGTTGAATATAATTTTATTCTTGGACCTAGAGCCAAAATTTCAGATTATATTTACAAATTCAATACTTAAGGTTGTACAGGGGAATATGTAATTAAAGCAAATAGATACTACATATTGAAGTATAATATATAAAGAAAATAGCATCATATAAACCCTGTTTGCTACAATAATAAATGCCATGTAATAGACTTACCTGTCAGTTTTCTATGTTGGTATGGATTACATCTGTGGAACAGTCTTCTAGATAATGAATTTTCGGAATGGTCATTATGTATACATGTTGTGCACATGCACATCTGTGAAGGTGTGTACGTATAAATGTATCTTAAATCATATAAGGCAACCAACTAATACACTGATATATTTTTTCTGCCATATGAGTTTATCTTAGGAATCAAGGCAAAAATTATATATATTGTCTTGTGCAAAAAATGAAAAATGTAGTCCAACTTTAGGAGCAAGGAAAAGGAACTTTAAGTACATTTTATGATAAACCTGTGATTGCTTATATTGATACTAGCGAATACTGCATATTCTGGACTTGTTATTATAAAATGTCACTATTTCCATCTTAATGTTTAGTGCTTACATGGCCAGTGGGTCATATGTGCAAGATGGGTAATGATTGTCTCAATGCTTCAAAACTGAGATCTAACAATTGAAAATGAAAAGCATTTGGGTGTAATTTAAAGAACAAAGAAACAAGGGGATAAAGAGCAACCAGTTCAGAATATAAGGAACAGTTAGTCTAGCTTAATTATAACCATATTGATTTCTCTTTTTCCTTCTATATGTATCAGTTAGAAGTTTGGTAATAACTTAACCCATTTTAGCCTAATTACAAAAATAAATTTATTACATGTTTTTGTGGGAACTTTTCCCTCCCATAAACTCACATCTTAAATTCATTTATACTTGGTGTTGTGTACATCTTTTCTTTGATGTAGTATAGCAGTTTACTTTATGCTTAAGACTGAACAGATTGGGCCTGGCGACATGGCCTAGCTGCTAAAGTCCTCACCTTGAACGCTCCAGGATCCCATATGTATCCGATTCTGATCCCAGCAGCTCCACTTCCCATCCAGCTCCCTGCTTGCGGCCTGGGAAAGCAGTCGAGGACAGCCCAAAGTCTTGGGACCCTGCACCCGTGTGGGAGACCTGGAGGAGGTTCCAGGCTCCTGGCTTCGAATCAGCACAGCACTGGCTGTTGAGGTCACTTGGAGTGAATCATTGGATGGAGGATCTTTCTCCCTGTCTCTCCTCCTCGCTGTATATCTGACTTGGTAATAAAAATAAATAAATCTTAAAAAAAACTGAACAGCTTTTACTATTTACTATTAACCATCTCCTAATTGTGATTGTGTTGACATGGAAGAGCTGATGAACATGTTTTACTCTTGGGTTGACTCCTCCTGAAGCGTACTAAATCAAAGAAAATGATGGATTCTTTGTGTAAAAGTCCTATAGGTTTTAGTTTATAATGCAAGTTAAAGAAACAGGTAGTTACTTTTGAGAATGGAGATGAATTTATGGAAAGTAAAAAAGAAAATCTTAATTTTATTGCTTTCTCTTGATTTTTTGCTTTTCTCACATTTTTGCATCTCATTTTGTTACCAGTGTTTGTGTTACAAAGAATGACTCCCATTGACTGACTGTATGATGGACACATATCACCTGTCTGGTTGCTAGCAAATATTTCCCCGACCCAGTATAAACATCTCAGTCATTGAATGTGGGTATAAGAATAAAAATAAGACAGTGTTAACTTTAAATGAAACACAGCTGTTTACAGGTTATATGATTGAATATGTCCAAATTCAGTAGCTTCCTTCAATTTTCCTGTGTAATTTCTTTGAGTCTTAAAGCATTTCCTGTCTTCTCATTCCTCAAAACAGACAGACAGACAGACACACACACACACTGAATCTTCAGAATGAAGGTATATAATAGGGTGCTTCCAAAAGTCCATGCAGCAATGAAGTTAAAAAAGAATGTGAATTTTCTATGTGGTAATTCTGTCTGTGCACTTAATTATGATGACTCTTCGTAAAAATGAATGTAAGGAAATAAGGTCAGTTTGAAACTGAACATTATTTAAACATTTTGTATTGTAGCTGTTTCCTTAATATCTAGCATTCCAGTTCTGAGCCAATTAAGTAATGTATGTTGTAAAATTAAGAGATAGGAAAGATACTATTGTAAGGATAGTCATTTTGTAGTTTGAAACACTTAATGGTATCAGAATCCACAGACCTTAGCATGAAAGTAGAATCTGGTGACCCATGAGTGTTTGAATCACATACTGAATTGCTTTTTCCCTAACGTTTCCCTGTAAAACAGAAGTTCATCTAAGATTTTTTTTCATCCATTTTGATTGCTTGCTCTTTATAACTAACCACCAGTGAAGAGAGCATTTTAGAATCTCCGAAGAAATTTTTGAAATTAATTACAATCAAAGAAATACAATGAAGTAAAATAAGGATATTCACATTTAGAACCTGTCATCAGAAAGTTCTTGTATGTATTCAATAGTAGCAAACGTATTTGACAAAGTGTGGCCTGTTGCTAGAAATGCCCATTTATGTCTCATACTAATCACATTTTTTCCCATTCTGTCTCCATTTATTTGCTTGTTTCAGGTATACCACAGATATTCAAATACTTTGTTTAGTTTCATACTGTATACACCAGTAAATGGTATTCCTAAAAGACCTATTCCTTCTAGTTTTTCTCTTTCATTTTGCAGTTTTATCTGTCAAAAACACAGCGTGTTTCTAGATTTTACTGTAATGGGAAGTGTTTTTGCTTCCCTAGGTAAAAATAACTCTGTCTATTGTGTTTAGCATTTACATGTGATTCTGATTTTTCAGATGTATTTCATTTTTTTTCATTAAACTGTTTTGTGGAACAATTTACCTTACTTGTGGATAATAGAGTGTAAAGAGACCGAAATTAATGTACACACATGCTTTTGTAATTAAAAAGGGAAAGAGTGAGGATGAGAGAGGAGAAAACGAGGGGAGAGGAAACACACTCCCGCCCACTGCCTCAACTCCTCAAATAATTGCAGTGACTAGAACTGTGCCAGGTGGAAGCCAAGAGCCTGGAAGTAGGTCTAGACCTCCTGTGTAGTTGCCAGCAGCTCAGTTATGTGAGTCATCATCTGCTTCTCCCAGGGTTGGCATTGGCAGGAAGCCGGGCTTGGGGAAAGGAGCAGGGAGTTGAACCCAAACACTCCAATTGCAAAAGGTCCAAGCACCTGCTGGGATATGTACTTAATTTTGTCTGTCTTAATATGAATTCTCTTTCAGACTTAAAAGTTATACATATTTATTTTTGTCTTTTCCTCCTGTTTCTGCAGGCGAAATCTCACAAAACTGTCGCTTATCTTCAGTCACATGCTGGCAGAAATCAAGGCAATCTTCCCCAATGGTCAGTTCCAGGGGGATAACTTCCGCATCACAAAAGCAGATGCTGCTGAATTCTGGAGGAAGTTTTTTGGAGACAAGTAAGTAAAAATTGTTCATATGTGTTGGATCCATTTCTCAAGTGTAATGCTGTCGAGTCTTTAGCTGCACGTTTCATTAGATGTTTTGAGAATGTGTTTTGACAAGTATTTTCTTTGACTGTTAAGTTATCTGGGATATCCCAAAAAGCATGTCTCAAATGATATAACAATTTTTAGCCTTTTTATTTGAAAGAATGACAGAGGAGAGGAGAAAAACATTGGGATACTAGGTAGGATGGAGGTTAAGGGAGATTGGTTAATTGGTAGGTTTTACAACTGCCGATTCACTTCCCAAGTGGCTGCAACCGCCAGATATGGGCCATGCAGAAACTAGGAGTCAGAAATTCCATATCCTACATGAATTTCAGGGCCACAAATACTTGAGCAATCTAATGCATTTCCAGGAGTGTTAACAGCAAGCCGGAAGCTAGATATGAAACTCAAAACAGTGCTCTTACTGGATGCACCAGCCTGTGCCACAGCAACCTCTGGAATAGATATATATATATAATATCCTTTAATATAGGATATAATAGAACACATGTCCTATTATTCTAATGTGTATTCTATATTCTAATATATCGATTCCAGAATATATATAGAAATCTAAATTTTATTTTAGATTTTTTAAATCATGAAAAAATTTTTATTATTATTTTGGAGTAAATATTGGATTTCATGAGGGTACTTCATAAAAGTCATGGGAAATACTTATTTTGGTGCAGAAAAACTTTGAAACCCATACGTAAGTTCGTATAATACACATTTTCTCTCTTCCCAAAATGTTCTATTTATAGCTTTATAATTAGAATATACTTAATTGCAGTAGCGTACATTTTATTAGAACATATTCTGAATTATTTTCAGACAGTAGTGGAGGTAAAACTATTATTCTCATCAATATAGTCCCAGTTTTGCAAATAGTCATGTTTAATGTTTGTTCACAAATGATAAATTTAGGAAGAAAAACTTACACTCCTAGAGTAGCAGCCAGGAGTGTGCCTATGTTTGTGGTTACTAGAAAGCAGAAAGATTTGACTGGATCCTGGGAGGAAGAACAGATCGGTTTCCTGCCGTTATCCCTCCGTTTTTTGTTTAAACACTGTAAGCCTTACACAGACAGATTACTTGTGGTGTTTGTTTTCAAAAAGTCACATTTCTGATGAGCTGTCAAATTGTTATAGGGACAGTGAAACAATGGTGAAGTTATATATGTTTTTAATCACAAGAGCTTACTTCCATCTCTAGCCTGAGAGAACCGAGCATCACGGACATGTCTATCTCCCTGCATTTGTAGCACATACATCATGGGATGGAATTTCTGTTCATCTGCTGCAGGAGTGAAACCTTCACTACAACCTATGGGGTGGATATTTGAAGATTGACTAGATATTAGACTTACCTCATAAACTCGTTTACTTCCGTCTTCTATTTTCCCTGACTTAACTTCATCATTTTCCTTCCTTCCTTCCTTCCTTCCTTCCTTCCTTCCTTCCTTCCTTCCTTCCTTCCTTCCTTCCTTCCTTCCTTCCTTCTTTCCTTTTGTTCCTTCCTTTCTTTCTTTCCTTCTTTCTTTTCTTTCTTTCTCTCTCTCTCTGTTTCTTTTTTGTTGTTTTTGTTGGGGGAGGTTAGGGAAGGGCTGTGAGCCTGATTTTCAGCTCCTTCTGGAACTTATATATATTTATATTGTCATCTAAGTGATTTCTTTACCAGATAATTGGTAAAACTGAATTCTCAATGTGATCTTATTTTGTAATTTCACAATATTTTATTCAGTGAATGAACACATGAAAGAATGATGTAACCTTTCAAAGAGTTAAATTCTATCTTGATTACACTGTAATATTCAGGTGTATTTCCCCATAACTTCATTCTTCCATTGAAGTGTTTCTCTCATTTCTCTTATTACACTTTGAGACCATGGGCAACCTTTTCAAAAACCAGGCCTTTGAACTTAAACTGCATCATTTATAGAAGCAATAACATTAAGAATATGGTTGTAAAAATACCAAGATTATGCTTTTTATAATGAAGCTTTTAGCTTAAATAGAATGATTGTGACTTTTCAGAAATAACAAAGTCAACTAGAACAAAATGTAAGGTTGAGTCCTAGTCTTAGGACTTTGTCAAATGAATAAGGGGCCATTTCAGGACAGATGTCATAAAAACCAGATAGACAGGAACAATCAGAATTTACAGGCCTAATGCTTGATTTTGTCTCCCAACCTTTTTAAAGCCATGCTGGGAGTGACCTCTTCTCACATCCCAAACTGCTGGCCAAAACGTTTTTGATGCTTGAGGTCCATGAGGTTCAGTAAAACCTAATGTTCAAGGAAGCTGCTTTTGGAGCCTGCATTTGTTAGGTTTTCATTCAGATGTATTTAATACTTTAGAAATTAAGTCCTGCTACTGCTGTGTTGATTGTTTGACTAGGAGATAGAAATATATAGGGAGAGAGAAGTGATATTATTGAATAAATGTCTGTAAGAAAGTTATGATGAGTGAAATAATGCCAAAGTAAATCTTCACTCTTGGAAGTACTAGTTTATAATTCAGATACCTTAAACATTTTACTCAAAGAATGTATAACTACCTCTTGGGAAGAAAGAAAAATGTTACTGTGATTGGACTGTGGGTTGCAGTCGTTGTCCTAAGAAAGTCAGGTTGGAGTTCCCAGGCTACTCATGCTGGGAACTACTTGATCTTGAGACTTAGATATACATTTCCAAACAAATTGTAATTCAGCAAGAACTGTGGGTTCTTACTCCTATTGCTTCTATGCATTTTATTTCCTCCTCACATTTCATTCAACTTTTTTTCAAGTTGAGACTGTCCTTTAAGTTACTGGAACAGTCTTTTGGTTGGCACCCAATCTAATTGTCCTTCTTAGTCATATCTCTAAAAATAAAGCTAATCCTTCCAGCCTTTACCTCAGCCGTTCCCATGAATATTGATTCTGTTGTCTAGTCTAAAATCCTGTTAGCAGGAGAAGCTTTAGGAACTATTTCTTTACCCTGCACATCTACAAAAAAGCGAACAATTGAGCATTCATATTTTCTGATACACCTTATCCCTAGTTCTTCATCCTTATTTCGCTAGATTACAGCTCTAGTTTGGGTAGCCTGTCAGTGCATCGCCTTCCCTGTGTTGCTACTTGGGCAGCTTTTTTGGACTACTCTAATCCAAAATAGAATCCTGACTCTGTGCTGCTAGATACCTGGGCTCACATCCATCATCCCTGCTTGCAGTAAAAGCACTGATATGTGTGCATTTCCTAATTGAGAGGATTCCAAAAGACTAAAGATTCTTCGAAAGCAAAGACTGTGTTGCTGCTATCTTTTTCAGAGCCTGACGCACTTCCTGGAGTGTGTAGGTGCTGATCATTGTTAACATTCTGCTTCAGTAATTGCATGGATGACTGGATGACTGCAATCTATTCCCTTATCTATTCCCTTTTCTCAATTTGCAATGACTTTAATCATCTATAAATTAATCTTTTTGCAAAAAATCACCAGTTCATCTGGAGCTATTCTCTAGATGCCTATCTTTCATCATCTTTTTCTGTATCATCCCAGAATTTTGATAACTTCTTGAAGTTCAGTTCAGAATTACTGTTTCCTAGTTTTTCCTCACATGACAGGCTTCAAAAGTTTATGGAAAAATAGAATTTGAAGTATATGAATTTCATATGAACTCTTTGAATTCCCTCATACATCTTCCCATGTAATCAACTTTATTCCATTCTTTTGTGCTTTAAAATATGTGTGTATTACTGAATGTCAGTTTAGTGTGTGTGTGTGTGTGTATCTTCCTGTTCCATTTGGAGACTTCTTGGGAACTTTTAATGCAATAGTTAGCAAATATACAGATTCATTTATTAGTCAAAAATCAAATTTGTTTTAGATATGTGTCTATATCCTATCCTTTCACAAATACTACTTTCATTTTCCATTTAATCTTTAAACTGCTTTTTAAATTGCTATTGATTGAGTTCTTGGGTGGTAAATTATGTATTACAGGGAATGCAGTATGGGTACAAGGAATAATATGAGCAACAGAGACCTATGATTGCAGTTATAAAGAAGGGGCGCACAGCCAGTTTGACCGCAGAACGTATATAAAGGAAGCTGATACTGCTATGGCCGTTCAAATATTTCCATAGTGTCTGGCATAGAAATTTATTAGACCGCTCAAAAAATCTTCTAACTCAGTTTCCCACTGATTATTACTAGGTTATCTAATGCATTGACTGTTTTTATTATCCTAATTACCTTACTTCTTATTAAATTATAAGCTTCTTAAAATCATTTTGTTTATTCATCTTTATATATCTGAAGTAGCCTTACATAGTGGCATTCATATATGTAAGAGAAGTACTGTAAGGCTTAGCTCAAATGAATTGAGAAATAGAGGAATGTGCCTGAGCATGTGTTTGTGAGATAAGGAGACAGAGCTTGCTTTCTTGCCTAATTTAGAGGCAGTGTGCTTAGGGTCAGGCATTCAGGCTGTGGAGCCACAAAGTCTGAACATGTTCTGGCTGCAACACTTACTAGTTGTTAGATTACAAAAGCTATTTGGTTTCTGCATGCATCTGTTCTCTAATTTATAGAGTGTGGGTGACACTAATAATACCCGCTGTCTAGGGCTGTTCATAAGGCTAAAAAAGACAAAACTGGGTGGCGTATCATAAGCACTCTCTTGTAGAGCAACTAACGAAGGTAAACCTTTAATCTTGCTCTGAATGGCGTGAGCATAATGATCAGTTGTTTAATTCTACAATAAATGTATTTGTGTTCTAAAAATCAAAAATAAATGTATGCTAATATTATCTGTATACCTTTATGCAACTGCATGGAAGATAGATAATAAATTGCCTTGGTTACCTAGGAAACAAATGATCTTTTAGAGCTTTTATCGCTTCTACCTTTGATTTCCTGAGGAAGTACTGTGGGGCTTTTTTGGTTGTCTGCATTTTCCTTGCACTTTTAATAAGAAACCAA